TGTAGTCCCAGCTACTCAGGAGGCTGAGGCAGAAGGACTGCTTGAGTCCAGGAGTCTAGGACGGTAGCATGCTAAGACCATGCCTGTAAACAGTCACTGCACTCCAACTATGGCAACACAGCAATAATCCGGCTCTTTAAAAAAAAAGCAAAGAATGGAATTTCCCCAAACTGTTCTTTAACCTTAAGGCAGGATCCACTGATTCTGCCCAGCTAAAGTCAGAAACAAACATTCATGTGGTTAGTACTTGTTGTGTGGACCAAAACACGAACTGTGCATATGCATCACCCCCCCAAAAAAAACCTTTATTTGTAAGTCTAAATTAGTACTTAAGAAGTTTTATAACCTTAAGAAAAATCCTAATTTAAGTCACAATGTTACAAAGAACAGTTGGGATTTCTGCAAAATCTTTACAACCTGTACAATAACATATTACTGTTTATTAGGCAATTTAGACAATTTAATTTTGTTTCTGGTATTTAGGTTTTTGTTCTTAGCCTTATTAAATTATATGGAAAAGTATTACAAGTAATTCATTTTAGCAATACACTGTTCTTTATGGATACCAATTAAAGTGGACATTTTTCTTCATTTATTTTACAAACAATCCTACTTTTGCCTTTCTAATGGGGAGGGGGGAATAACTATATTGCCTGCTGACTGCCTAACTGGTCCTCCCTGACCTCATATGCCTCCCAATCAAATAGGCCAGACAGCCACTGAAACACTAGGAAAATTTAAAAAAAAAATAAGTAAAAAATAATCACTATTTCTCTGGATTGAAGAGAAATACCCTCACCCCCCAAAATCAATGCAACAATCAAATTTAACATTTTTTTTACTCTTTTGGAAAGTGGTCTTGCAGAAATCTCTGCAGTTTATGATGATCCAAAGGTAATTCAAATAGTAAAATACCCATATCAATGGAGAAAATGTAGGAAGAATTCAAATGACTATCAACAGGAAGTGCTAGATGGGGTTTTGGTTTGGGGAATGAGAAGCAACACACAAAGAAGGAGAAAATACTCCAAATTTCCTTTAAGTTTGGTAGGCTCTCAGCACTCAATACAAGAAAACAAAAAGACCTAGGAGCCTTCTTTTGTAGTATGTTTCTCAAAGTAATCTCCAAGCTGTGCAACTTCACACAAAAAGGCCAAGAAAACAATGGTCTTCATTGAGGACAAGATTGGAAATGGGACAGAAAACACTACCTTGTCCTTCATAAAAACATGGCCTATCTTAATCAAAGTATTGTTACAGTTCTATACTCTGCAGCACAGGGGCAGTAAAGTGATCAAAAAGATAGATTTGGGTGCAAATCCAAGTTCTGCCACTTACTATGTCTCATGGCCTTCATTTGTAGGAATATCTACATCTGAGTTGTTCTGCAGTTAAATGAAAAATATGGAAGAGTAATTTTTAGCATAGTATCTGACATATAAAGAGTGTTCCAAAAAATGGTAGCTATCATTACTACTATAAAGCAAGCAATCTCTCAAGGAAAATCCATTAAAAGATTAAGAGAGACTCTCAAAGTTTGAGTTAAAATCACCTGATGGGTTTATTGAAAATGCAGATTCTAAGGACGATTTCTCCCAGGAGATTAATTTGATAGATCTAAAGTAAAATGCGGGTGTTTTCTGGCCCAAACATCAAAGAGAATAAAGGTACTGAACTATAAAAAAAAAAAGAAAGGCTGAAAATTTGGGCTTTTCCAGAAAGAATTTGCCTAAAATAGACAGTATGTTCAAAGGAATACAGACATGTTCACTAAGTTCATGCCTTCAACACTGAGTACCTATAATTCAGTGAAAAGGATGGACAAGGTCCCCATTTTTATAGAGCTTTATTTCCAGTGTAGAAGACAGAAAGTAAAAAATAAGGGAATTCCAGACAGTGATAAATGTTGTAAAGAAAACAGAATGGAGAGATGGGACAATCTCCTTGAAGAAGCAACATCTGAACCGAGACCCGAATGACATGATGGAATCAACCACTGGAAGAAGAGTACTGAGGCCATAGGGTATAGCAAGTGCAAGGGGCCTGTGGCAAGGGCTAGCTTGGCAAGTTCCAGGATCTTTTGATCCTGCTAGTGGGGCTGGAATACAGGAAGAAGCTCATGTGACCAGGCTCCAGGCCACTGAACTAAGTAGAGGGATACAGGTAAGATTAAGAAGGCAGTGCCAAAACATGTATACTACCTGGCAAGCCTTGGTAAAGAGTTTGGATTTTATTCTGAATGTGGATGGGAGACTTTCAACAAGGGGGTGCCAATTTGATTTACATTTTAAAGGATCTGTTAGGCTGGTAAGAGGAATGCACCATAAAAAGTCAAAGTGGAAGCAGGAAGACCAGGAAGTTACTGCAGTAGATGAGGTGAGAGACGATAGTCTGACAAAGGTGGTGGCAGCAGGGATGGGAAGAAATAGACAAATCTAGAATACATATTAAACACAAGAATTTAAGCCGAATCAAAGAAAAAGAACTAAGTCACCTAATGAGTAGTAAGCTCTGGGACTAATTACCCAAGAGACACAGAATGAAAATAGAGATTTAAAGGTTTTAGGTAGGTTTATGAGAACTGGACCCAAATGGTTGTTAGCAGATTTAGGATCCTTCATGATATGTACTTCCCCTTTGAAACCGAGGTGAAGAGGACATTTTCTTCCACAGCAGGCTTTTTTGGTGCCACTGTAAAGCACTGGAGTAAACGGGCACACACCCACTACTCAACAAAGCATATTAAATGTGATGCGTAAAGTCTTCCAGGACCTTACTAGAGCGGGCCTCAACAGCTGATCAGCTTTTGGAACGTAGTATAACTATGGATTAGAACTAAATCTTTACCTGAATCACATCGCTAAATTAACAAAAACTATTTCAGTTTCCATATTGTCAACTCAGGCTGTGCCTACTTTCCCAAGAGTTAAATAAGCCGAGCCTTACTTTGCCACACAATGCATATTTATTTCTTAAGCCTTACATTATCACAGAGATTTGTGAGGAAACTGTTTAAAACCATGAATAACTACCATTTGCCAAACATACAATAGTCCCCCCTTACTCATGGGGGATATGCTCCGAGACCCCTAGTGGATACATGAAACTATGGACAGTGTCGAACCCTATATATGTACTATATTTTTTCCTATGCGTACCTATGATGAAGTTTAATTTATAAATTAAACACAGTAAGAGACTAGCAATAAAACAATTATAATAACAATACATTGTTATAAAAGTTATGTGAATATGGTGTCTCTCTCTCTCTCCAAATATTGTATTTTTGGACTGAGGCTGACCACAAGAAGCTGAAACTTAGTATGTGAAAAAGCAGGTTACAGAAAAGCATATGTAGTATGAGAACATATTTGTATAAAATACATAAATGCAAAAAAGTCTGGAAGGATATAAACTATCATTAACATTTTGGTAATCTTTGGGTGGCAGGATTACCGATGATTATTTTCTTCTTTTTTGCTTATCTGCTTTTATCAATATTTTCTCCAATTCTCACAAAATAGTTCACAGAAGCAAAATTATTAGTTATAGGTTAGCATAAAAGGTCAAAAGCTGAAAAAGAAGAACTTCAAGAAAACTTTCCTTCATCTAAATCAGCAGGATTTCAACTGTGGTGATCTCTCTGGCACACACAGGAGAAAAAGACTCATTAAGAGGTCCATGTTATGCCACAATAAGGACATACCCTTGAAGGAAATAATTTAAATTCGTAAGAACTCTTCCTGGATTTGATAAGTTGTAATTAATTATCACATACTTTTGTTGCTCTTTCTTGTTTCTGTTAGCCACAGAAACACTTCAATTAATGAGTTCTCTGGGGGTAAAAATGTTCTTTCCAAAAACGAACAACAAAAAAGGTTTGGTTTTCTGACCTCCATGCTCGAGGGGCAAAGAGGGTGGCAGCTTCCAAACAGGCTAAAGGAACCTACGCCGCCAGCCGCCTTAAGCAGTAGGGAACACAAGCTTTCTGCAGCCTCAACAGCACTGGGCAGCGAAAATGTCTCCTGAGAGTCTCAAGACTAAAATACCTGGAAGGTCTTACATTTTCCAAGTTATCGTATGTACAGCGGCCAACCGTTTCTGACAATAAAACCCAAAAACTGGAAGGTCTTTTCTACAAATGCAGGTATTATGACGTGCGTGAAGCTCATCCGACTCTCTTGATGCCAAACTAAGACATTCTATTATTAAGGCCACATCCTCGATTTTGCCAACTTGGCGAATGAAAACATCCTACCGACTCTCTACAGCTAACAAACATCATCTTGGCTAAAATCATAACGCATACAAACAGCCACTCTGGACAACTTTGGCTTTAAATAGCAACGGGGACCTCAGGTATTGCCGGTCACACGCTTGTCGCACATTGTTTGTTCCAATAAAGCGTGCTACCTCTCCTGTCAGCCCTGGTTCCACTTCCTGAACAAACAGAAAATGGGAATCCTTTAAATTCGGGACACAATAGGAGCTTAAAAGCTCTCGCTTTAGGGTGGCAGCTTTCCTGCCTCATCTGTCACAACAAAGGATGCATCCCAGTGACTTCACCATATCCAGAAACGGCTGAGGGAGACGGATAAACGATAGAGTGTGGCTCGGGGTTTGTGAGTTCTTCCTTCCAGCTGCGACTGTCTTCTTTTTACTCCATTACACGCCTCTGCCGTGTTGACTATCTGGCCCTAAAAATAAAACCACCCGTGGCTACCGTCCACTTTCCCGCGAGCCCCGACTCTGACTTCCTGCAGAGAAAGCCAGACTGCAGGCTGTCTGCCTCGCTCTTCGCCGGGGGCGCGGGCTCGGCAGCAGCGGGCTCCTCCCGGGGCGGCATCGCCAGCCCGGCCAGGGACCACCGACCATCCCGAGGAGCAGCCCCGTTCTGCCGCGGCCGCCGCAGTGCCCGGGAGTCTAGGAGCCGCCGGGCAGAACCGGAGCGGGCGGGAGGGGGGGTCTAGCAGACGCGGCGGGGAGGGGGAGACACTCACCCGCCCAGACAATAACCGAGGGGGCGGGGAGGCTCGGGGCCGGGACCGAGGCTCGGCAGAAAGACCGCCCGGAGCTTCCGGAACGCTGCGGCTGCTCCGGACGCCGCCGCCGCCGCTGCCGCTCCTGGCCGCCGGCTTCCTCCCCCTCCTCTGTTTTGAGTCGATTGACCACGTCACTCTTAGCCACCAGACCCGGATCTGCCGGCTCCCGAGGGCGGCGGCGCAACAGATTGCAGCGTCCAGAGACCCCAGCCGCCCCGCCTGCCGAGCATGCGCGCGCCCCACGCCCGCCTTGCGTGTCCGAGAGAGCGGGGCGGGCCCGCGCCGCTGCGGGCGCCACGTCACGCTGTGCGCGGGGGCGCGGAGCGCAGGGGTGTAGTTCCGGTTGGGAGGGGTGGGGCTGAGGGTTGCGAAGGAAGCAGACCTAGAGCTGGCGTCAGCTCGAGCTAACTCTGTCGCGTAGTGTGTGTTTCGTCTGTGGTGGACAGTGTACTCTAACGTGTGTCCCTTTGCCGTAGGCTTTAGAATACCCGGGTAGAGGTAGAGGTGGGTACAAATCGGTATCTGCCGAGACAGGCTCCCCTTGTAGAGATTGTTGTCTGATCACTCAGGCCCAGGTGAAATTAAAATAGGAGATGGGGGATTACGAAGTACGTCAAGTGCGGACATTGTTGATCCCCTTTACCGTCCCTAACATTTTTGCACTGGAAAGCTGACCAAAATTAAGTTCAGCAGGAGTACTGGAGGGAATACGTGACCAAAGATGATTTGCTGGTCAGGGCAAGGGGAGCGCTGTTGTTAGGCAGCCAGCCCAAGCCTCTGTTGCTTTGGTCTTAGGGGTTGGAATAAGGATGCCGGTTGTGGGTGAACAACCTCACTCCTTTTCAGATCAAGTTGATGCTTACTACTCTCCCATTTTATCCTCTTAGTCTCCCCGCTGAACCTTTCGGGCCCAGGAAATTTCCTAACTTGGCAAAATTTAGAACTATATTGTTTTCTTAGGTGAATGGACAATCTTTAATTAAAATGAGACCAGTGGTAAAAATAAATGTGAGTCCCAAACAAAGATTTCACAAAAATACCCCTGCCAGTCCTGCAGGCGAAGTGAAAGTTAGCAGTAAGAAGCTGTCTTCCTTATTCTGACTTGACCTTTTTACCTATCCAAACTTATACCTAGGCTATTTGGTTAATTACCTCTCAACAAGCTCAGTCACCTTCAGCAAATTAGTATAATCTGCAAGAGCTTTTTAATTAAAGTGGATGTTGAACACAGGCAAAGGTCTCTAGAAAATTAAAGGTTTCCGGTAAAACTCGAAGTATTTCCTAGTTAATGAACAGATTACAAGTAGGTCCAAAGCAGTCAAGCTTCTTGGCCCTTAATCTGTAATCTTGAACTCTACTTACTCAAATTCAGAGAGTTTGAGGTGAAATCTAGTGCCCTAATGAAGTTCACGGACTGAATCTGTAGTAGAGGGTCTTTAATTTGTGAAACTCTCAACAGAAAATCTTTTGTGCTTGGGTGCACCCACGTGCCCATAAGTGTTTGAGAACATAGCTGTGTTTAAGAGCAGCATGGTACAAAACTAGAATTGTATCGGTTGTTGCAAAATTCTCAGTGTGTGCTTTACAAATTACAGGAAAATCAAGGTGTTAGGATTAGCTGGGCACAGTGATGTATGCCTATAGTCCTAGCTACTTGGAAGACTGAGAGACCTGAGAATCACTTGAGCCCAGGAGTTTGAGTCCATACTGCAGTTATTGTGATCTTGCCTGTGAATAGCCACTGCACTCCAGCCTAGGGAACATAGCAAGATCCTGTCTCACTAAAACAAAAAATGCTAGGATCCTTGGTAGCTGACCTTTAAGATGACCCCCAGTGATTCTCACCTCTGGAGGCTTAGTCTTCACCAGCCCTTTGAATCAGGACTACTGTGTTTGACTAGTAGAATGCTGCTGAATGTATGCGACTTCTGAGGCTAGGTCACAAAGGCACTGATTGCAGCTTTCCACCTCATTCTCTTGGCTTGGATTGCTCTGGGGGAAGCCAGTCTCCACACCACTCCACTCAGACAGCCTTTTGAAGAGGCCTACGTGGAGGGAAATAAAAGCCTCTACCAACAGCCAGTACCAGCTTGCCAGCCACGTGAGTGAACTACATTGACTGATCCTGCTACTCTAATCAAGCATTCATATGACCACATCCCTGCCCAACATCTGATTGCAATCTCATGAGAACTAGAAAGGGCTAGCTCTAACCCACGGACACTGTGATATGGGATATTATATGTTTTTTTGTCCTGATATTTAAGTATAACCTTTCTAAACTTTAAACAAGAACTAAAAAGTGTGTGTGTGTGTGTGTGTGTGTGTGTGTGTGTGTGTCTAATTTTATGTGCAAAGTAATTTAAAGAACAGAATTCCTACCACATAACCTGGAACATAGTAGACATTGAATAAATATTTGTTGAATGGATACAGAATCAAAAGAGAAACAACAGTTGAAAGACATTTGGAAAAAGTACTGATAAAGGAGTAACATAATATATGAAGGACTCATACATCTCAATAAGGAAGATGTTAATGCAGATGTTAATGCCTGCAATACATGTATAGGTGTACAGTTTGAACTGATGGTTCACATACAAAAAGGAAATACAAATGTCTGATATTTGAAAATCTTCAATTTCATTAGTAATCAAAAACTACAAATTAAAGCAAGATTTCTTTTTTGACTACTACATTAAGGAAATATATTCAAATAGGATTATTTCATATTGGTACCATTAGCACTGCTGGTAAAAATGCATTAATAAATTGGCAGGTACCTTTTGGAAATCAATTTGGCAATATTTCAAGTTCCATAAAAATGTTTATATCCATTGACCCAATTTCACTATTAGGAACTTACCCTGAGGAAATAATTTAAAACAGAGAGTAATATTAGAAATATATTAATTACATTTATATCATTAGAGAAAATATGGAAATAACCTACCTATACAATGGTGGGGAAGGATAAATATGTTACATTATAGCTTAGGATCTAAAATACTTGATGAGGCCAGGCATGGTGGCTCATACCTGTAATCCTAGCACTTTTGGAGGCTGAGGCAAGAGGATGGCTTGAAGCTAGGAGTTTGAGACCATTCTGGGCAATAGCAAGACCCCAACTCTACAAAAAATAAAAAATTAGCTTGGCATGGTGGCACGTGCCTGTAGTCCCAGCTACTAGGGAGGCTGAGGCAGGAGGATTGTCTGAGTCCAGGAATTTGAGGTTGCAGTGAGCTATGATAATGCCACTGCACTTTAGCCCAGGCAACATAGGAAGACCCTGCCTCCAAAAAAATAAATAAATAAAAAACTTGAAGATAAATACTCATAGTTTTGGGAATACCTTCCAGAATGCTTTTAAGAATATATAAAGCATATATACTTACAAACACTTTCTTCTTCTAAAGCAAGAACTGATGTTGGTTACTCCTGGGGGGCAGTGAGAGACGACCTTAAGAATTTTTGCCCTTTTGTATGATTTGAATTTTTTCATATCCATACATTATTTTCATA